ATTTCCCCACATCTGTGCATTTAGATTAACCTGGTTTTCTGTAAGGTAGCAGAGCATCCTTTATCCCAATACCCCCCTTTAATACAAATTTGTTTGGATGTAATTTTAACCTTGCTCTCTAAAGAGTCATCAGTGTTTACCTGAGGAGGTTGATGAGAAAGACATCAGAGATTAACTCTACCCCTCACTAAACTGAGCTGGGCCCTGTGGTAGTCAGACAGGTTGGCAGATGTCTAGATAGAGAAGTAAAAATATCCCAGGATCAAGGTTTTGTGGATAGAAAGCCATGAAGCTCAGAGTTAGGAACAACTTGGGCCCATCAAGATAATGGACGTGCTTCTAGAATCCCTGAAAATTCCTGCCAGCTGCAGGCATTGATCACCTGAGAAGCAGGATCATTCCCCAGTCCTGTAGGAGACGGTCTCTTGACTGACCTTCTCATAGGGCACTGAGCCTCCGGAGTGCTGAGCACTGGCTAGTCAGCTTCTGGGTACTGGGGAGGAAGTGGTCAAAAACCCAGGGGGAAAAAAAAAACCTCTGCCCTGGGGAAGTTGAGGCTTTAGGTATGGAGCTGAATTATGTGAACCCCACTCCCACCACAGCCAAACCCCGTAAATCACCCCGGTCAGCTACCATCACTGGAGCTCCCTTTGTAAATGTTGAGAGCAGCTGCTATCAGCTTGGGCAGCCAACTGGGCTCAGCCAAGAAGCCTTTGGGGAAGATGTGAGTTAATCATTAAGCAGGGCTTTAAAAGCAGGAGGCCAGAGGCCAGACCCCCGCTGGTGCAGATGCACAGACCTGTGACAGAGGTGCAGCTGTGGGGTGGCGTGGAGGAGGGAGGCGGTGGGGGAATCAACAAGATTAGCTCAGGCAGGGAGAAGAGTCTGAGGGGGAATGTCAGAAGCACAGGAAATGGGGCAGGGAAAACAGTGGAAGCGGGAGGGGCTTTTGCACTGTGTTGAGGAGATTGACTTGGATAGGTTAGCAGTGTGGAGCAGCTGTGGCTTGGGCAGAGGCACCTCTGAGGCCAGCCAGGCAGGCCACATCTGCCCCTGCTGGGCCCCTTCCTGCCATGCACCTGTAAGGAAGCAGCTCCACCAGGAACCCCACCAGCCTCTGTCTTGTGCCAGTTGGGTAATGTGCACCCAGATGCATCCAGTATTATAGTTTCATTGGCAAAGCAGTTCAGGCTTTTCTAGCTGACCTGTTGGCCCAACTAGAATTTCTCCCTCACAGACAGCAAAAAAGTTGGGCCTGCCTTCCAGTCCACTTTGCCAATGTCCTCCCGCTACAGAACTGAAGTCAGACGATGTTGGGTTTATGGACTTGTTGCAATGAGGGATAACACACAGATAGCATGGGTAGCCATGAGGCAGCTCAGTAAGAGGATGTGATCAAGGACTTCTTGGGGGATTTGGGCTTGGGTTAGGTGATACTGGGGAGGATTCAGGGAAGGGAGAGATTGCTCTGGATTTTGGATGTTATCAGGAAGCAGAGGTAATTCTAGGACTGGGTATCTTAGGACTGGGATTTTTAATAATTCTTACCTAGAAGGTAGAAGGAATGGGATGAGGCTAAAGGTATAATTAATAAAGAAGCAGAAGTGGCTCATATTAGCCAGGAAAGGAGCATCTTTGGTCATTCTTGTGGTTTGGACAATGTTCTTATTTTTGTCTGGGTCTAGACAGATTATAGGGTCATCTTGTTTTCTTTTGCTCCATTACAGTCACAGAGTGGCTGTATCTGATGTTGCTGTTCTATGGAAATTATGTTCAACAAGAGCACACCATGGCCCAGATGTGAGTGCCAGGCTTATGTCTAAAGGCAGCCAGGAATCCTGCAGAGAAAAAGATTCTGATGGTTCTCGGCATTCATATTATCTAAGCAGAAACTCCTCTTGCAGGGCTAGAGACGATGCTGGAAGAAAGGTGCTCCTGTTGGAAGGCTGCCTCAGGTCTATTCATCCATTCAACAAATACTTTTTGAACGGGAAACATACTCAGGCACTTGGGACAGAGCTGTGACATGGATAGTTCTCATGGGTATACATTTTAGTGAGGGACACAGACAATATGAGTGAACAACACTGGGGCCTGTTGGGGGATGGGGTAAGGGGAGGGAGAGTATTAGAAAAGATAGGTAATGAATGCTGGGCTTAATACCTAGGTGATGGGTTGATAGGTGCAGCAAACCACTATGGCGCACGTTTACCTATGTAACAAACCTGCACATCCTGCACATGTACCCCAGAACTAAAAATTTAAAAATATATTAAAAAATAAAGTCACGGGTATTACCGGGCATTATAAAGAAAACAAAAGTAGTTGTCAGAGAATGACTGGGGGACACTTTGGAGAAGTGGTCAGGTACATGCTCCCTGAGGAGGTGATCAGAAGGTTCCCTGTGAGATTCTAAGGCAAGACTAGCAACAGGAAGAAGGCAGGAACATCTGCAGTGTGGTGACTGAGGGAGAGATGGGCTGAGATGAGGCTAGAGAGGTGGGCTGTGTTAGGGGGTTTGGGGTTTACTCCCCATGCCCTGGGAGGCCACTGGAAGACTTTAGCAAGAAGAACAGCAGGCCCACATCTCCCTGTGTGACAGCAGAGGCTTGCAGAGTACTGGCCTCTCAGCATCCCAAGGCCTGTCTCTGACCTGCCCCGGCTCCTCCCTCCAGGCCTGGGGTTTTGGGTTAACGGGAAGTAGTCTGATTGTCTCCTTCCCTGCTGAGGTCAGTCATTGTTCAGAGTGGTGTATTAGATCCCTATTTCTGCTGTAACAAATTACCACAACTTAGTAGCTTAAAACAACACAAATGTACTATCTTCCCTGCTGAGGTCAGTCATTGTTCAGAGTGGTGTATTAGATCCCTATTTCTGTTGTAACAAATTACCACAACTTAGTAGCTTAAAGCAACACAAATGTACTATCTTATAGTTCTGGAACTCAGAAATTCTAGCATCAAGACGTCTGCGAGGCCTTTGCCTTCTAGAGGTTGCAGGGAAGTACCTGTTTCCTTGCCTTTCCTAGCTTCTAGAGGCCACCTCCATCCCTTGGCTTGTGGCTCCTTCCTCCACCTTCAAAGCTGGTAGCATAGCATCTTCAAAGCTCGCCCACTCTCTCTCTGACTATGACCCCTGCTTCCATCATCATAGCTCATTCCCCAACTCTGACCCACCTGCCTCCTTCTTATAAGAACGCTTGTGATTACATTGACCCCGCCCAGATAATTCAGGATAATCTCCCTATCTCAAGGCTCTTAAATTAGCCACATCTTCAAAGTCCCTTTTGCCATGTAAGGTAACATATTCACAGGTTTTGGGGGTTAGGATTTGGACATCTTTGGGGAGCCATTCTGTCTACCACAGGTAGTCACCTGGACAGCAGAGAACCGAAATTTATCTTGAGCCATTCTACTAATGAGATGTGTCATTTAGCCACTGGAAACCTACTCACTTATCTGTAAAAATGAGATGAGTACTTGCCCCACCTACCTCAGGAAGTTATTGTATCACATGAATTAACATAGCACATTTGGAAAAAAAGAAATGCTGTAAAATATAAGGAATAATTATGATGTGTTATGGAGCCTGCCAAACATAGGTACCAAGGGCATGTTATATATTAACATAAAACACTGAAATTGAAAGAACCAGGTTTGCTCTTAAAAATACTTGCTGTGTGACCTTAGACAAGTAACTTAAAAAGTCTTTGGATTTTGTGTGTAAAATTTGGAAAATGCTATCTTCTCACAATAGTATTGTGAAGTTAAAATCAAGTAATACAGGCTGGGGTGCTGTGTGAAATGCTACACAAATGTTCTTTATTAAATATTGCATAGCCAGGTGCCCAAACACTTCTTCCTAGATAGATGCTTAATGAATCCAAGTAACAGAGTGATACCTATCAGACCAATGCCAACCGTTTTGGAATCTCCACTGTATACAGTGAGTGAGAAATGAAAAGAAGATAGTAAACCAGGGTTCACTCCCATTCCCTCCCCTCTCAGCTACTGAGGGGTTACAGAGCAGCAGGAAGAGCCTGCAGCATCTAAAATGGTTGGTTAGTCAGAAAAATGCAGAGTATACCTACTGAGAATACAGAATCTTCCTGCAATAAAGAGGTTGAGATTGAGGCAGACCTTCTCCAGAAGAAGCATCTGTAGTCATATTTAAGACATTCAAATAAATTGCTCAAGAACAGCCTTGTTTATTCAGTGCCTATCATGTAACTTGAGCAGAAATGGGCAGGAAATATGTGCCTTCTGAGTGTGAGCTATAGACCTACAGACATGTTAATTATTCAGCATACCGTTTTTGAGCACCTAACAACGTGATAGACACTGTCCTGCTTCTGGGGATACAGCAGGAGATAAACACAGAAAACCTCCCTGCCCTCATAGAGCTTATTGTCTAATTGAGGAGATGAACAGAAATCAAACAATCCACAAATGAATGTAAAATTGTATTTATAACTCTTCAAAGGCACCGTGCTATGAAGCTTATCACAGGGCTTAGAACTTGGCCTCTGAGAGGTAACAATTCAGCTGAGATCTGATGGCTGAGCACGTGTATTAAGAGGGAAGGGGAGGAGGGAAGAGCTTTCCAGGCTGAGGGAACAGCGTGTGCAAAGGCAAAGAGGAAGCATGGAATATTGGAAGACCTCCGAGAAGCCCAGTGTGTCTGGATCTGGACTCAGAGTGATGGGGGCAGTGGTCAAGATATAGACTGGAGAGATGGACAGGGGAGTTCTGGCTACAGGCGTCATTATGTGGGCAGATACAGTGGCTGACAAAGTCAGGACATAAGGTTTCACTCAGCCCAAGGTTTTGTTTTGATTTTAATGCTCCTAGAAGAATCTTATCATTGCATGTTTCTAACTGGAAAAAAAAAACCCTTAAATATGTAATAATTAACTCAAATTCTCACCTGGGTAAGAAGCACATTAAGTCACCCTGTGTAGGTCAATGAAGGGTGCCCAGGTGGGTCTTAGGTGTCCATACCTGGCACTGCAAAGACTGGCTCCAAGATGGCATGCAAAGACCAGAACAGGTCATGAGGGAATCACTGACAGCAGTTCTTGCCTCACTGTTGTGCTTTTCCAAGGATTTCACATGCATGAGCACATTGGACTCCTGCAAGACATCTGTGAAATGGGAAGAATGTAGTAGTTGTGGGGAGATCGCCAATGACTTGCCCCAGCACCCACAGTGACAAAGGGAAACCTTGAACTCATATTGACTGTTTCTAGATAAAAATGGTTTTCCCCATAGACCACAACTGAGTCACCTACATTCTTTATTTCTCTCTCTCTCTCTCTGACCTCCTTAAAATAATAGAACTTAGAATGATCAAACTCAAAGGGGACTTTAAACATCACTCAACTTATTTAATTCCCTCCTTTGGAAATTGCAACAAGTTTAAATATTTTGAGAAGCAATACTATTTCCCTCAAAAAGACTCTCTTTCTTTAGTAGAAAGAGAAGTCTTTATTCTGGTCCTTTCTAGTGACTCATTTTTGGCTCTTGGAACATGTGCTGTCATGGAAAGACTCTTCCTGTAATTCACTGTGACCTTAGAAGGCAGGTCACTTTACCTCAGGTACCCTCTGTTTTCTCACTGTAAAATAAAAATGTAAAATAACTACAACCAATGATGACAAATTCATCTTACATCATAACCCAGCACACACACACACACACAAGTGAGAGAGAGAGTATTGAAACAGAAGTTCCAAGAATCTATACTTATTCTTACTAGTACAATGTACACTATTTTCATTCTAGTCTGTTCTATTGCATTTCATTCTGTTCTTCCAAATAGCTCTTAGATATCCAGTAAATGGATTTTACTACCCACTAAAATGTAAAGTCCTCAGATTGACAAATGCTAGTCTGGATACTCTCTGAGGCACCCTCCAGTCCTGGTTCTCTGACATCCCCTGGGGCTTCCCAGAGTCTCCTGGAGGCCTCTTTCCAGCAAGGCAGGTCCCCTTCTGCAGCTGCAAGAGTGACTTGGAGACCCTCTTTATCAGTCCTTGGGCCTCACCAACTAGTGCTGTTGGTCTTAGGGCAATTCGCCCCTGCAAGTGTAAACAAAGCACTGAACTCAGCCTTCTGATCACAGTTAGCCAAAATTAGGTGGAGAAAGATCCACATTCAGAGTCCAGCTGCAGAGTTTGAGAGCTTGGCCATTCCCTGCAAGAATCCCACCCAAGACCACACACGCCTCACCCATGCACATAGACCACACATGGTAATCCACGCCTACTCACCACACATGCCACGTACAAACACATACACAGCTCCCTCAACATTCACACATACCACACAGTTATCCACGTCAATACCCTCACCCATACCATGTGTACATACATACACACAGACACTTTACACACACACACACTTATATGCATGTACGCACACACTCACCATACACTACACACATACCACAACACACACACATACACAACTCCTGAGAATCCCCACAACTCCTGTGGTATAAAGCAAGAAATCATAATTTGAAGGTGAATGAGTCAGAGGGAAATAATTTTTTTTTTTTTTTTTTTTGACTCACTCTGTCGCCCAGGCTGGAGTGCAGTGGTGTGATCTCGGCTCACTGCAACCTCCACCTCCCAGGTTCAAGTGATTCTCCTGCCTCAGCCTCCCGAGTAGCTGGGATTACAGGCACCCCTCCACCATGCCCAGCTAATTTTTGTATTTTTAGTAGAGACAGGGTTTCACCACGTTAGACAGGCTGGTCTCAAACTCCTGACCTCAGGTGATCCACTCTCCTCAGCCTCCCAAAGTGCTGGGATTATGGGCGTGAGCCACCATGCCCAGCCAGAGGGAAATAATTTGCAGTTAATCCTTACTATCTCTTCACTGTTCACTCACTAGCACAGAGTTGGAAAGAGGATTTTCAACAGTTGGAACAATTTGCATAAAACTACACTGGCAATACACTGAAGCACTTTGCTTTAAAAATTGTGCTGTTAAAAACAGTCAAATGTATATTGCTACTCTAGTATTTCAATGATGGCTTTTTTCAAATTAATCAAAATTTCATTTTATGAGTACTATTTTTCATATTATCTTTTTCATTTGTCTGCTGATTTGTAATAGCATAAGACTGTATGTTTATGCTTATACCTTTATAAACACACACATTTGCTTCATGTTTTGAAACAGGTTTTAATGTGTGCTATAAATGTGTGCTCTTGAAAAGTACTGTACATATCATTTTACTGAAGCTTTAAAGTTTATGAATTCTGAATGTTTAAAACTGTAATAACAATATCAATCCAAGCATTTCAGTATTAAGTAAAGTAAATCCCCAAATCCTGGTACTATTTGACCTTGAAAAGTACTATTTCCCACGCTCCCATGATGGTCCTGAAGTTGCTTTCTGTGCCCAGAACAGTGCTTGCTATCCTAAAAAGCTCTCAGGAAATGTCTGATGAAAGAACGCGTGAAAAGAAAGAAAGAAAGGCAGAGAAGAAGGAGGGTGAAGAGGGAAGAAAAAGAGAAAAAGGTAAAGGAAGAAAAGGAGGGAATGAGATTGGAGGTGGGTGGATAAAGAGAGTGAGATAGACAGAAAGACAACCGTAGGCTGCTTCTGACTTGGGTGTCTTTTCTCTGTGGAAAATGGAGACCAAAGACCATGTCAGATCTTGTTCAAAATATTATTGCTGGAACCCACCTTGTGAAGTGGCAACTTCATGGGACAGTCACTGGAAAATTCAGCTTTCCATCTGCAGTAGAGGAAGCAAATCTTGCCGAGACATTTGACAGACACTGATGATTAGTATTAAACATTATTCCTATGGTCACTTTGCTATGGTAACTGTGTCATGGAAATATTTGCATTGCTCATTTACAATTGTTTTCTTTTCATCTCTAAGGCTCATTCATGAGTTTTGGAAGGAGGGTTATGGTTTTATTGCTTCTCCTAATGATAAAAATAATACATGCTCATTATTTTTGATTAATCAGAAAATAAAAGTAAGCATAAGCCTAAAGTAAAGTAATAATGCCTATTATTCAGAACATCCAGAGATCATAGTTATTAACATTTGGTTTTCATAAAATATATGTAAATATGATCATACTGTATATTCCATTACGTAATCTCTTGTTTCACTTAATATATTGAAGACATCTCTGTCCATCTTTTAAAATTATTTCATAGCTTTCTGTTCCTGTTTGACAAATCTTTAGGTTTGCCAATGTTTTATTATGATAAATGATGTGCTAATGAACATTCTTGTACAGGCATTTTTATGCATTTATCCTGCTATTTCCTTAGGATAAGTTATTAGAGTCGAACATTTAAATGTGAGTATATACATTTAAAAATACTATTTAAATTTGCTAAATTGCCCTCCAGAAAGCGTGACTCAATTTACATTCCCTTTAAAGTGTATGAAAGTACCTATTATCTCATGCCTTCGTCAGCACTAGTTATTATCATTCTTTTAAACCTTTTTCAGTTTTATAGGTTAAAAGGCATTTTCATTTTTATTTTTATTGGCATTTTCTTTATACTAGTGAGGTGAAATAGCTTTCATGTTGGCCATTTGCATTTCTCCTTTTTTGTGTAACTCGTCTGACCATGTTTTAACTGTATCTTACCTTTTCATTGATTTCCAAGAGTTCTTCACAATTCAAAAATGTTAACCTTTTGCTGTCATATGTTGTGAATTCTTTTTTCAGTTTTTCATAACTTATGGTATGTAGTTTAGACACATAGAAGTTTTAAGTGGCCAGTATTCAATGATTTCCTTAATATTTCTTACTACTAAATCATGCTTAGAAAGGAATTCCTAATTCCAAAATGATATAATTTTTTTATCTGTACTTTTTTACCATCTTTTGTTTTCTACATTTATATTTTTAAACCATTTGGAATTTATTTGATGTGTGGAGTGAGGTAGGGAATCTAGCTTTTTCTTAACTTGTCAACAAGTTGTCCCAATAACCTTTGGACTGGATAGTCCACATAGTCTTTCTAATGATTTGAAATGCCTTCTTTGCCATACTCTAAATTTTTACAGATCCTTGAGCTCTTCTGTCACTTGTCTTTTTACTGTAGCCTTATATGTCAGTCTTTTAGAACTATGTATTATTTTGACTATGCAGATTGAAAGTTCTCATTCCAAAGACTCCTCAAGTTTTTAGAATAATGACTGCCACTTTCAATAGAAAGAGCAATGTCATTTTATTTACTTTGGAGATGTGCTAGAGAAGGGAATTCTCCCACCCCCACCCACCAAGTCCTAGAGTTTCAGATGTGGATAGACCTACACATTTTCTATTTTAATCTCCTAATTTCACAGATGAGTTCCAAAAGTGTAAATTGACTTGTTCAATGTTAACATAGCTAGCAGAGCTGAGACTAAGCCAAGACTAGACCAAAACTATTTAGTAGAGAACTGAGACTAGAACAAAGGTATATACCCCTAAAACCATGCTGGAGGAAGATGGTCACAGTGAGAGTTTGTCAAAGATGGCAAACACAGGATTAGTAAAAGGATGGTCCTCTCTGTTCTAGATCTCCAGCATCTGACTTCTTTAAGGGAAAATGAGCAGTTTCTGGAGCACCAGTTTGAGAGGGAAGTTAAAGGTACAGGAGCCCTTTGATGTTAACTGACTGAGTCCTCAGAAAACTCACAAAAAGGAAAGAGCACAGACACACTAAATAGCACACAAGTGCACATGTGCTTCAGTAGTAGTAGCTTACCCAGCATTGAGCTTTCAAAAAAAAGTTTCAGGCGTTTCTCAGTAGTGTCACTGTCACCCTGGTTGGCTATGTTAAGGTCATTTAGGTCGGACATCAGCAAGCACAGACAGCTGAGAGGCAGGAAATGTGTAGCTCTGTGAGCAAAGCAAAGGAGAAAAGCTTTTTATAGCCAAGGCATGGGAGGAAGCACTGATAATCGGAGAAGGGTTGTGTGTTTTCTTTTCTTTATTGGGAAAACTCTCCAATTACGTTCTTTAAAAGCTAACCAGGCTCTCTCTTATCTTTCCCACCTCGTGGAAAGTCATTCGCTAGCAAACAACCTTCCATCTGAGGGCACCGACGTTTTAAAAATATGTTTAGTTTCCTAAAGATATTTTATAGTTTAATTCATTTTTATTAGAAAAT